AGGTACGAAACAAATTGTGGGAGAGATAAAGAGAGATTTTACAGAAGGTCAAAGGGGTGAGAGAGAGAGAGAGAGAGAGAGAGAGAGAGAGAGAGAGAGAGAGAGAGAGAGAGAGAGAGAGAGAGAGAGAGAAGAGAAAGAGAAAGAGATAGAGAAAGAGAGAGAGAGAGAGAGAGAGAGAGAGAGAGAGAGAGAGAGAGAGAGAGAGAGAGAGAGAGAGAGAGAGAGAGAGAGAGAGAGAGAGAGTGTGTCAGTGATTGCGATCGATGATGTTTGACTAGTGACTTTTGATCTACGTATTAACTTACCATGACCTCTGATCAGTGACCTATGTGACCCCTTATACCCCTGACCTCTGACCTACACCCCAACAGCGCTGCGCCAGTTGCGAAACACGTCCCATATCGAGGACGATGTGCAGGAGATGAAGGCCGAGGACCGGGCGCAGCAGTCGGAGGCGCGCATCACCATGGTGCAGCTGCTGCGCTCGCCCTCGCTGCGCGCGCCGCTCATGATCGCCATCATCATGCAGCTGTCGCAGCAGCTCAGCGGCATCAACGCGGTCAGTGAGATCGAGAGGGGCTTGGAACGGGGTCAGTGACATGGAACGAGGCACGGAACGGGCTGGGGTCAGTGACATGGAGCGAGGCACGGAACGGGCTGGTCACGGGCTGGGGTCAGTGCGACATCGAGCGGGGTACGATATGGGCGAGACGTGGGCTGCTGGGAGCTAGAAAAACTAGTTGGTAGAGGGTCAGGACTGGCTCATCAGAGGGTCAAGCTGCCGCCACCAGTGGTTCCATCTTGACTCGATAGTTGACATTAGGCGTCTGGTAGTGACAGCGTTACCACTCTGACCACTTGTATTGCCTTGATTTGCCCGCGTCTTTGTGAACGGCATCGATAGAGCATGCGGCACAGTCTAGATTCCGACGCCTGAATCTCCGTTGATACCGTTCACAGAGACCTGGGCAAAACAATGTAAACGGAAACGGTTAGAGTGGTAACGTAACACTGCCAGGTACGGAAGGAAGTCGTGTTTTGATTGCAAACGGTAACAACACTGGTATTCTAACAGCCACAAAGCCCCTAGGCGCCAACTTTGCCGACGGCCGGTATCCTTAGTTACAGCTTTTGCCGAAAGATGGCGCTAAAAGCGAACGCCTGAAGGTAGGCTGTACCGCTTGGCTCAGTCACGATCCGTTTCCAACTGGCATGAATACTTAGCTCTCTGGCCTTGCCTGTCGCTCACACAAATTGTTCGGTGACGTCAAACTGACCACTCAATACGCTCCACTGATGCCTACATAGGTCTAAGAAAGCGTCGTGGTATTATCACTAAATTCGACATCACAATAACCTGTCAATGGCTGGAAAGCCTCTTCGTGTGTTTCTAACTTTCTCTCCGCCCTCCTCAGGTGTTCTACTACTCGACCAACATATTCAGCGACGCTCAGTTGTCGCTGCAGAAGGCCAAGTACGCCACCATGGGCGTCGGCGTGGTGATGGTGCTGATGACAATCGTCTCGATCGCGCTGATCGAGCGCGAGGGCCGGCGCACGCTGCACCTCTGGGGCCTGGGCGGCATGTTCTTCTTCTCCGTGTTCATCACCATCTCGTTCCTGGTGAAGCAGATGATCTCGTGGATCGCCTACCTGGCCGTCATCTCCACGTTCGGCTTCGTCATCTTCTTCGCCGTGGGGCCCGGCTCCATTCCGTGGATGATCACCGCCGAACTCTTCTCTCAGGGTGAGCCGAAACGACCAGTTTGTCCGCTTTGTAATTTATCAAACATTTGTTCTTGATTTCGGCATAACGATCAGCTTTAACTTTCTTCGTGTTAATTAGTGAGGTAGAGCGATATCGACAAACCCGAGGCGTTTCATAATTGTGCATTTTCTAAATGTTAGCAGCGTTTGTCACGGCTTGTGCCTGTCCTCAGGACCGCGTCCGGCGGCCATGAGTATAGCTGTGCTCATCAACTGGGTGTGCAACTTCCTGGTTGGCATCGCCTTCCTCCCGCTCAAGGTGAGAGCCAGAGTGAGACGTTTATTCTTATACCTCCGTCGTATGTAATGTCCTCAAAGCTCACCACTAGCCCAGGGCTCTGGTCCGACATGACATCGTTCTTTTGGATGTGATAGCGTTTGGAGATGACCTCACGAAGAGTGGCTTGGATCTTTTCAGAATCTTCTAGAAGATTACACATTTCTTCCGTTCTCCATCCTTCTCGGTGTTTTTTGGATCTTCACGTTCAAAAGCGTACCAGAAACCAAGGGGAAGACATTTGAAGAGATTTCAGGCATTTTCAGACCTTCACAACTGTACGTATTATCTTGCATTAGTCTTATTGGCCCGTTTTTTGCAGTTTGCAGACTAATGGTTTTCACTAAACACTGACACGTGTTTGAAGTAACGCGTGGATACACTTTATTATTAACAGCATTGTGTGATAAACTTTATTTATGCATCGTGAAGTCGACCGTTTGTAATAGTTTTTAACCGACCTAACATTTACTGACAACCCAGCTTTATCACTTGAACACACGATTTGTGTATCGACTGTATATGTAACCGACCCTGTTTGTGTGTGTGTCTGTCGGTGCCAGGCTGGCCGGCGGCTCGGAGCCTATGCTGGAGGACCACAACTATGGGTATGTAGCGCTGTGAGCACAGTGGTCACAGGGTCACCAAGTTTCAAGGTCACAGACGTCAGCACATCAACTCTGACCGACACGTCAGGTCATCCTTGTCAACATCATCATTTTCTGTCAATTAGTTCTTGCCCTCGTCGGTCAGTGCTCTCCAATTCCATTCGATACACTATATCTGGTCAGGTTGTCACATTAAGTTTTTCCCTAAAAGTCGAACTAGCAATATTCGCATATTCAATTGTAAAACCACATAAGGTTAGATGAACTGGCGATATTGCACATAAGCTGACCCAGAGCACCTACAATGACCGCCCATATATGTCATAGAAATGTTGTATATATTCATATGTCTCAGGCGCCATAATTATAGGGCATCATAATAAGCGTCCAGCGATTTAAAACGTGTCAATGACGTGATTGAAGCGAATTTTGAGCTAAACAAAATCCATATTCCGTTAAGTCTCACGCACCGTATTCAGGCTAACCGAGCAGCATTGATGTCCCAGAGCCGAGTGGCAGGCGGCTGAGCGGTGACGATTGCCCGTTTCAGGAGCACAGTGAACTGTTTGAACGCTGTTGTGTACGACGAGCACCCGATGCTCGAGACGGCCAGGTTCCACGGACAATGTAAGCGGCCTGACAGCGCTGCCCGCTGCTGCTCCGAACACCCGACGCCGGCCCCTCTCTGTTAGTCGTCTGTCTGTCTGCCTGTCTGTATGTCTGTCGTCTGTCGCTCTCTGCGCGCGCTCTCTTCCCTCTCTTTCCACTGTCTGTCGATCCTATTTCCATTGGTAGGTCTGCTATATGTATGTTCCCTGCCCTGTCCCCGCTCTCTGCACTCCCTTTCAAAGGATGGTTTTCCAGTCCCCGCCTGTGTTTCGCTAGATGCTCTCCTTTCTTGATGTTGTGGTGTTTGCTTTGTTTGGTGTGGTGCTGGATGTAGTGTAGGGCATGACGATACTCCAGAGTCCAGTTACAAAAGTATCATTGTGTTGCTAAGAACGAGCATCATAGAACAGTTACACTACACGTACACGTACTTGGATACATTATCCATGGAACGTCCTTATGGGCTTTTATGCCTTAACCCTCGCCGGACCTATTGGTTTTCTACATACGCGCCGGCCGAGGGGGGGGGGGCGGGTACGACCCCCCCCTCGCCGTTTCGCCCCTGGTGGAGCTAGCGCGTCGCGGAAAAAACGAGCGTGTGCGCCGTTACGAGACGCAGAGATTGGTACCCGATTTTAAGGTCCTAGGTCAACCGGTGACCTCTGAGGTCAGGTCAAGTGCCCCAAGGTACGGTTCCGTTTTTGGTGAATAACTTCGCAAAAACGGCCGCAGAGCGCCGATTTTGGCAGCATCGTGTTCGTCTCGCTCAGGCGCGTCGAATGATATACTTTTTGTCCGGGTCAGGTCAACTTGGGGTGTTGACCTCAGGTCAAGGTCAGGTCAGCACCCCCAGGTCACGAAGTTGGTCGAAAGAGGTCATGTCGCATATCATTCGATTCGGCAGGTCTTCCTGAGTCCATTGGTGGCTTTCCCGACTCGCTAGCTCAATTTGATCAAGAGTTATTGACGAAAAACTAATATGACCTTGATGACGTCATAAATGACGTCACGCAAGGTCAACATTGCAAAAGTGACGCATCTAACCTTGCAAGGAGTGCATCAAATCACGATTCTGTGTGCTTGAGATAGTTGGAGATCGTTCCCGGCGCCAGAATAGCAGTTTGAATTTTTCCCCATTGACTTATAATGGTGAGGTCACGAAAATGACCTGACCTCATATGACCTTTAGGAAAAATCCGAGATATACAAGTTTTGGGACTCATAATGGATACTAGATCCTGCAAGTTTCAATTCCCTGTGACATCTCCTCTGGCAGTGAGAGCGTTGCGAAGTTGCGACATCTGAAGACCGTGCAGAGGTTCACTTATGACGTCATAGGTCAGTGACCTGACCTGACCCAAAAATGCGGTTGGTGTCGAAAGATCCGGCTTGGATCAAAGGTCAGGTATGCCAAGTTTCAGCTCTCTATCGCCAGCGTGTTCGGAGCTATCGCGAAAAAACCCTATGGGGGGGGGGGGGCGGCACCCGCCCTCCCTCGGCCGGCGAGGGTTAAAATTGTCATTCATTTTTTCGGGCTAGATGTTAGGTTACTACAAATCGGCTCAAGAGACGATCTCATTTCAACTGTCGATGGCCTGGTTTATGCATGTTTACTTCTTCAAAAAGATATACTTGTTAAAAACAGGCATATACATGTATGTATGTACAATACATATCACAGCTCTGCAGAGCATGGTAAGGTAATTTACACCAGTATAACGCCTTTTGGGGCGATTAACGGAGCGAGCGAGAGGGTGGGCCTTGCACGTGCGAAATTGCGAGGGGGTACCTCCAACTGACTTGTGCACGGCACCCTACTAGCCGGTCTCTAGCGATGGGCCAAATTTGAGCACAATCGGCCCAGCCGTTCTCGAGATCTGGGAGCGGCACCCTGCACGTGCGCACGTGCAAAATGGGTCTCAACTGACTTGTGCACGGCACCCTACTAACTGCTCCGTAACCGTGTACCAAATTCGAGCGCAATCGGTCCAGCCGTTCTCGAGATCTGGAATCGACCCCTGCACGTGCGCACGTGCAGCAGCACCCCAACTCTGGCACATGGGTATGCATTGCCTAGTGGGTGCCTACCTACATGCCAACTTTCAGCGCAATCGGCCCAGTAGTTACCGAGATATTGCAACTATTACAAAAGTGACACCTCTTCGTTTTGCACGTGGCACGTGCATAAGGGGTCACCCACATGCATCAGGAATAGTCCAATACTTGGTAGAAGGAATGAAGCTACCCTACAAAAATTACCGCGTGTAAATCGGTCAAGTGGTTGCTGAGATATAAGCCTCGCAAAAGCGTGACCACGGCCGGCCGGCCGGCCGGCCGGCCGCTCATACTCAGAAATTTCCGTTAATCTAAGGAAAGACTACGCTCGCTTCGCTCGCTCCGTAATTATCTACGTAAAACCACTAGCTCAAAACTTAGAAATTCTGAGCTTGTGGAATCAATAGACGACTTAGCGTATAAAGACCCGTTTGGATGCCCGCGACACGTTTGAAGTTTGGACACAGCAGATTGCACGTCTTACACACCACAAGCTCGATGGACCGTTTAGCCCAATCGGTGTGCGCATCGGGCAAGTGACATGGATGTTGTTGCCGCGTTCATTGTAATGGCGCTATTCGTGCTTTGTGGGATTGATTGATGTAAGACGCCAATATTTTAATTGTTTTGCGTGTGCGTGGTGTCTTGGAGTTGATGCGTCTTTCGCCATGCGTCGTTTTAGCTCCGCATGCAAGTTATCTCGGCTTCTGCGGAAGGTCGCATCACAGCATCCTGAGCAACTGATCCGAGCTGTTGGGCGCCGGCTGTAGTTCATTTCAGCTGCGTGTGACTTTGAATAAGTCAGCGCTCCACGAAGTGTTCCGGTTTCCGGCTCCTCTATTAAGTGCAGCATTACAGCTCGTTTCAGCTCCTGTCGGTGTCTGCTTGCTTCTGTGTTGTCCCCTTATGACCACTGTCATAACCGGCTCTCGCCTCTACCGGCGGCCTCCCTCCCTCTCTCCCTCGCATACTGGTCACCCCTCTCGTCCCAGTGGACTCGCCCGGTGCCTCGGGCAGTATCTGTGACACGACCTCGGGTGAGCGGCCGGGAAGCAATACAGTTTTGAACGGGACGCCATGCTGTCTACTTCAACCACTATCTATGAAGAGGTCCCGCTGTAACAGCTGCACAGTGCACTTCGTTGCATTTACCGGCTGTTCAAGCCTCTGTTGTTATCTTCCAGACAAAGTTTTCGTTAATGACGCTTCACATTTCCTACATCTGACTGTTTCAGCGGTGTTTGGCTTCATTTCAGCGCCGTTCATTGCTTTCCTCATGTATCCATTTCAGCTCAGTCATGGTCAATTTCATCTTCATCTCTTCATCACTTCTCATTTAGCTTCTTTTCAGGCCCGTCCGTCACCGCTCATCACGATTTACAATCAGGATTATTATTGCAGCTTCATAGGGAAGGAGTCTTTTGCAGGTTGCTTGGTCGCTCTGTTACAGGCAAAGTGAAAACTCGGGCATTTTGCAAAATGCCTAGGCAATTTGCAAAATGCCTGACCGGCTAGGCATTTTGCAAAATGCCCAGGCAATTTGCAAAATGCCTGACCGCCAGGCATTTTGCGAAATGCCTAGGCAGTTTGCAAACTGCCTGACCCACCAGGCATTTTGCAAACTGCCTAGGCAGTTTACAAAATGCCTGGCGGGTCAGGCATTTTGCAAAATGCCTGAGTTGTGATTGATTTATTTTACCGTTTTTGTTTACCACAGGCGTTGACCATGTCGCTCCCATGTGCCTGAGCCCCAAACACATTCAATATTTACGAATATACCCACGTCTTGCGCCACTTCCGTCGAGATGGAACCACTACTGAATGGTGTAGATTGAGCCAAAGTCTCCCTATAATTTTCGTATACGGAGTTGTAGCTTTTCGTGTGTAGGAATGCTGCAATGGGGCGCGGAGCATGGCACAGAGAAACATGGGCGCGGAAAAACGCGGCGACCGGCCGAATATTGACCCGACATTCTTCGCTTCCTGTGCTTATTTACATCACGGCAAGAGAGGGCCGCAGCGACACGGGGTTGCCAGCGATCGATAGAACAGAGACAAGCGTATCCAATAAACATATTTGTTAATCACGTGTCACCTGGAAAGAAATAGTCTATATCTTGAGAAATCAGCCATTTTTGGTATGTACATTTTAGGAAAAAAACAGCCTTTAAAAAACAATGGCAATGCATTGGAATGAGATGAGACACATTCCATAGACAACAAGAACATGTGGCTTTTCCGCTTTTCCAGAAAAGCAAGTTTTTGGTCATCCACGACCCACGTGCACACCTTTGTAATAAAAAGACGCTTAGAAATTACAAGTTTTACATGCAACGGGCATGTTCATCTTTACACAGTCACAATGCATTGATAATGTAGACGTGTGGCTCGCCAACCAAGCTACCATACATCGAAAGAACATTCTTTTCTGATCAATATCCACACAAAGTATTTCCAGAGTCATCAAGGCTCTTAGAAACATAACCGTGTTTAAAGGGACTATCCCACCTTTAACATGGGGTTTGAGTTGAGATAGCCAAGTTTGCGGCTAGGTTCAGAAGCCACTATCTATCTAGGTTGCAACCCCCGCGGCCTCTTGGTGTTGAAGAAATTCGTTCCCTTCATTTGAAAATGGGCCTTGTACAAGGCCCTATCTTCAACATGGAGCGACCGTTAATGTGACGTCACCTCGTTTAGTCATTCTGATTTAAATGGGTTTGTTCGTTGAAAAATCGCTTAAAACTTGGTCTGAACTTTGTTGTGGTGCCTACAGAGAAAAAGAATCAGCTTTATGACAGTAATGTGGCCTGGGGAAGGAGGTAATTTTGGGCTGTGACGTCACATATTTGAAAGTTTGTGTTTGGAATATGGGAAGCCTAAGATGTTTAATGAAAAATAAATGCCAGAACCGTGTTCCTGGTCATCCAATCTATAAAGTCGGGCACAATTTAACTGGTTTTAACAACATTTTAGAAGGTGGGATAGTCCCTTTAACGCGTGTTTACCGATAAAACCGCGCCGGGCGCCCGGTAGCCGGCGCGGCGGCCGGGCCGCTCGCGCTGCCTGGGGCTCAGTGACCTTGAACTCGGCAGCGCTACTCGGAGAATGTCTCACTGTGTGTCCTCCCACTTGGTGCGTATCGCTTGTGATTAACCCCTGTTGGCGGCACTTACAATGATGCTTACGCATCGTCGCTGGTGTGAGTTCGATGTCAGGCATTTTGCAAACTGCCTGAGAAAATAATTTCAGGCAGTTTGCAAAATGCCTGGTGGGCCAGGCAGTTTGCAAACTGCCTAGGCATTTTGCAAAATGCCTGGCCGGTCAGGCATTTTGCAAATTGCCTGGGCATTTTACAAAATGCCTAGCCAGTCAGGCATTTTGCAAATTGCCTAGGCATTTTGCAAAATGCCCGAGTTTTCACTTTGCCTGTAACAGCTCCATGTTTCATCGCCAGCTCAGCCTTTGTCTTTCAACAACCTACGCGTGTCTCACTGCGCCTGTGACGCTGATCCCGCTCGTGTATCCGGTTGCAGCTCCGTCTGAGCGGTCCGAGAGTGAGCCGGAGCCGACGCCGCGCTGCACCAGCCTCCACACGTCTCTGGAGCGGCCGTCCCGGTACGGCGGCGCCTCGAGCGTGGCCGGCGGCGCCACGCCCACCCTGGGGCCGCGCCTGCTCGACCGGCGCAGCCTGGACCGGCTGGAGCGGCGCAGCCTGGACCAGCTCGACCGGCTGGAGCGGCTGCAGGGCCGGCCGGCCGGCGCGCCGCTGGCATGACCGACGCCCGGTGGTGGGCCCTCGCAGGACTCTCCGCGGCCGGCGCTCAGCGACGAGCGCACCAACAGCGAGTCGGAGAGCGTCAGCGGCCACGAGGAGCTGTGGCGGCCCAACCACCTGCTGGCTAGCGACGATACCAGCTCCTGAGCGGGCGCCGCCCGCCGGCCAGCCCCGCGGCGCCGCCGGCACGCGGCGCGGCTCCGGCGCCCCGCGCGGGCCACGGGTACGGGCCGACGGGCGCCGAGAGGGCGCCGCCGCGCCTCGCAGCAGCGGCGCCCTCGCACACTCGATAATCATAAGATGATGAAGCTCAATATTTCTAGCTGGCGAGGGCTTGGGTCTAGCGATTAGAGTAGCGCTGCTGTTAGCTGTAGATAGTTCTTACGATCCTCTTTGGCCTTTCTCACCAGTGAGGGTGTTGGCGGGGACGCCAGTCCTGTCGGCAGGTTCGCTCACTACACACCAGGTCGTTCATTGTTTGACAGCCTCTCAGTGACTCGACTGATGCTAAAACAGTACTGCACTGCCCAGACACCTTTACAGAAGCTTTGTCCCAGTGATTGTGACACCATCTTCCAAATGGTTCAACGATGGAGCTCGAGGCAGCGAGGCCGTATGTGCGTGTGTGTGAGTGTGGGTGCGCGCGAGTCCGGGCGTCCCAGAGCTGCGGGCGAGATGCAATGAATACGCTTACTCTAAACAGTTGTGTTGCAGCCCTGTAGACCGCCGTTTGCTAGATATGCGATCGAGTCGACGCTGTTGAATGAGTGGGATAGCTGTGGAGTGCTAGCGGTATCGGACTGCGGACGATGGGTTTGACGCCGGTGTTATGGGACGGTGGGTGAGACTCGGGCGTTATGGGACGGGTAGGGTGGGACGCCGGTGTTACGGGACAGCCGCCGGCGTTCTGTGATGGTCCGTTCTGTTACCGAGCGCGCTGGTCCGGTCGTGCTGTTGTTGATCTCTCCGCCGTCGCGGCTCTGAGCCGTTCCACGCCCCGCTGCGCGCCCTGCCCCGGACTGATGCGGCGGCGCGCGGCCGGCCCATGCTTTCACCGCCCCGGCGGCCGTGCGTCTCCGGTGGCCGTCCCCCGCGGACGGTCTCAACTGTTGTGTCGTCGTGTCGCCGTGCGAGTGTGAGAGCGGGGAGCGAGTGCGTCCGGGCGGGGCGGCCGGCGGCCGGTGCTCTGAGCGCCGGCCGCCGGCCAGCAGTCAGCAGTGCCGCGCCTGTTTTTATACCGATCCCTGTGCCGTGTGTCCCGTCAGCCAGCGGCTGTCTCTGTGCCAACAGCGGCCGGCCGCGACCGCCGGGCGCCGGGCGCTCAGCGCCGCCCCACGGGCCAGCGCACTCGATGTAGGCTTCGTCTCGAGTGTCTCTCAAAGTGTGTCAGGATGTAGTGAGAACGGTACCAGTGCAATAGAAGCTCCAAACGACGCTACCGCTGACGGATTTGGAATACGGTCCCGGTGCTGACACACGTATAACGCACACCCAAATATATCATCTGATCAACCGGAGTGTGTTCACATCAGGAGGGGCATCCACATATCAATGTCGGAAGGAGTCGCTTCAGGCTGCCGATTACAGAGGCCACAATCTGTGTGGCCCTGGCCGCGGGTAATTCAGGTTCTCCAACACGAATCTGAATAAATACCTACCTACCTACAGCCGCAAGCCGCAGCCTGTTTAGAAAGTAACGTTAGCTGAGGCCCCGCCAGCAGAATGGTCCTCGATGATTCCACTGCCACTAAAGATACCTCCGGTCCGGAGGTCAGTGTAAACCAGATCAAAAGTCATCAGCTTCATTCCAACTGCCCTCTTTGATATGCAAGACATGAACGTAGCTGTACCAGTCCAAGAGCGTCACATGCGTCGAGAGATGCGAAGTGTAGGGGTTGACTTCTGGTGGTCTGGTATAGCAATCAATGTGTCGCTTGTCCCTGTCAGATCCATTTACCCTCCCTCCCCTCCGCCTAAACACAGTCAGTCTTCCCCAGCCGCCCCACCCCCATCGTCACACACACTGTCTGTCGGCGGGCAGGGTGAGTTGTATTGAGCTGTCCGACTGTCGGCCCGGCCACTGCCGGCCGGCCTGCTGAGATCCCCACCGCTCAGATATGTCTGCGGCACCGGGCACCGCTCACAACGCCGCCGCTGCCCATGCACGCACGCACTCGTATACACACATACACCAGCCGATCCCGGAGCACGACCCACGGTAGTCTCGTCTACTTGGCTCGTCGGACGGCCCCGCGCGCAGGCCCCCAGCCCACACCCTACCGTCGAGGCTGCTCTGGCCGGCCCGCCCGAGGGCAGACTGGCCGGCCCACTGGACGGTCTACCGAAACACTACCGTTAATACACACTACCAAAGGAAGAGACAGCGAGCGAGGCACGCCCGCGGCGAAAACCACACCACTATTAGGCGAAGAACCTTGTACATAGGTCGTATTAAAACACCACTACTTTCCCCTCTAAAAAAGCAAAAAAGTCTGACAGTGCCCGCGGTAAAATGGCGAGCCGGCAGTCTTTGGTTTGCCATAAATAGAACTGATGATGATAGACAACAAGGCCGTGGCCGGTGTCGGCTCCGGAGCTGCGGAGCGACACGCTTATGGTTGCGGGTAACGGCGGAGCAGCCCGCTAGGCAGGTACAGACACTCCTTATTGGCTTTATGCGCGGGCTGTGGGGGAGGGCAGGAAAAACGCACCAGCCGCGGCAACGACGCGCCCAAGAGCACTGTTATGTGAGTTACGAGACCACTGCAGTGAGGCAGGATATACCTAGCATGCGAGCTTTCCACCGACGTGATGAGAGCTGTCAATTTCGGCCGGCCGTCGCCCGGCCGCGGCGGACGCGCGCATGGTGCCGCCGGCGCCGCGGGACCAGTCCAGGCCGGGCGCCGGACGTTGGCAGTAAGAGCGTACACTTCCCATCTCAGGCCATGGTGTGGTGTGCGGTCCCAGTCCGTGCGCCCGGCTCGGGCCGGCCCCCGGCACCGGCGCCGCCCGCCGCGAGGCAGAAAGGTCACGGGCCGGTCACGGCCGAAACGGCCCTCCGGTGAACGGTAACTGTGGCTGGGTGAATGTGGCGTGATGAGTTGGCAGGGAGATGCAAGGGGAAGTTATTGGACACCTTCGCGCACGGACGAGGAAAAATGACATGGGACGTTGTTTGTGGACAGTATGTGCCTGTGCTACGCTGAGGAGTGTTTAAGAGCTCGGATGGACACTGCCGAACCCAGGCAGAGCTCTCAGAGACCCGGAAGACAGATCTGAGCGACGCGGAAACGGGGGACGGAAACCGGAGAACGGACGCGCGCGTCGCGACGAAACACACCACCCCCTGGGCCAGACCGGACCGGAGCCGACCCGGCTCGTCATCCTGCGCGGACGTGGACTCGCACTCGGCACACTCGCACACCCGCGCGCCGCCGGCGGGACGGCCGCGCGCCGCCGCCCGGAATGGCGCCTCTGTCGGCGCCGGCGCGCGCTCACCCGCAGACGCGGCCACGGACGGAGGCGGCGCGCTCAGGCGAAGTACATGACCTGGTTGGTGTCCTGGTGGACGGTGACGGCGCGCGCCATCGCAGACGGCGTGCGGTCGTCAGAGTTGCCCGACAGGTGAGAGCCCTCGCCAGAGCACGACGAGTGGTACGTCGGGTCGCTGAAATGGAAACAGAAGGTTAGTAGGGGATTGGCCAGGGGGAGCAAGGCATGTGCCATCACAGCGCTGAAAGGGATGTCACGCAGCAACCACAAGTCATTTAACAATATCCGCTTCTGCGTTGCGGCCTATCACGACTCCATGATTGTCCATTGATACAAAAATGTTCCAAGAAGCTACCCGCTTGTAGGTCGCAAAGGCAACTCTAAGAGCACGTCATGTTGACGTACGCACAGTGACATTTTGAATGAACCACTGATCAGTCCCTCATATCAACCCCCAGCAGCACTCCTACCCAGTCCAGCTGCCGCGGAAGAGCGGCGACTGACCTGTCGTGCTCCTTCTCGACCAGGTGGTAGCGGACCCTCCCCCCCATCCTCTCTCTAGTCCACTGACCTGTCGTGCTCCTTCTCGACCAGGTGGTAGCGCGCCCGGAAGGCCACCAGGTGGGCGTAGTAGGCCGGCGCCGGGATGCTGACCGAGCGCGTGCAGCGCACATACGTGTGGCACAGCTGGTAGGTCAGCTGCTGCAGCTCGTCACTGTCGAACCGGTTGTCGTCCCACAGCACGTGGTAGTGGCTCGGACGAGAGGTGCCCTGAGTGGAGACAGGGAGAGAGGCGGTCAGGGTGGGGTGGCGGCTTCACCGGCCATATGGATGGAAGCGTTGCCAGGTTTACTGGCAACGGGTTTACTGTATAATCATCCGAATCACAAACAAAAGCAAAACAACAGTAAGGACTCGTTGGTTTCCGTCCCAAAGTTTGTTCCCATAATGTCGTCTCTTCTAAGGTGCACGAAAAACAAGATTGTGATTTATACGTGGTCGCAACGTCCACCTAATTGCGTAATTTTCGCTTAGGTCAAGAAACCGCTTCTCTCATCAGATCCACCCTAACAACCCGCCAGCCGACCACTGGCGGATCCAGGGGGGGGGGGGGCACGGGGGCCATGGCCCCCCCCCCCCAAAGGCCTAAAGTGGCCTGTTTGGCCCCCCCCCAAAACGTCAGAAAAATTTCTAAGAAAATATACCTTGATGGAGGTTTTTAGCCACTTGGTGAAGTAAAGTTTCCACAGCATAACATGGAAGCAATATGGTAGCAGCACTGGCGGATCCAGGGGGGGGGGCCACGGGGGCCATGGCCCCCCCCCCCAAAGGCCTAAAGTGGCCTGTTTGCCCCCCCCCCCAAAACGTCAGAAAAAAAAAAATTCTAAGAAAATATACCTTGATGGAGGTTTTTAGCCACTTGGTGAAGTAAAGTTTCCACAGCATAACATGGAAGCAATATGGTAGCAGTGAGGGTCAGTCAAAAGTTGCGCGAGCGGAGTCGACCTTCAAAAAAAGACTGTTGTTGGCACGTGTTTATGGCGCGGCAGCTGGTAGTTGGCGGTGTTTCGCGTGGTGTGGCATCACTGGCGGATCCGGGGGGGGGGGGGGTAGCACGGGAGCCTGAGGTGCCCCTGACAGGCCCGTGGTGCCCTTGCTAGGCCTGTGGTGCCCCTGACAAGCCTTAAGTGCCCCCAACAGGCCCGTGATGCCCCCGACAGGCCCAAGGTGCCCCTGCGACCTGCGTGATGCCGTGATGCCTGCGAGGCCGGTGGTGCCACTGCGAGGCCGGTGGGGCCCCTGACAAGCCCATGGTGCCCCTGCGAGGCCGGTGGTGCCCCTGCTAGACCGGTGGTACCCCTGGCAGGCCTGTGGTGCCCCTGCTAGGCCGCTGGTGCCCCTGGGCCCTGACAGGACTGTGATGCCCCTGACAGGCCCAAGGTGCCCCTGTAAGGCCGGTGGTGCCCCTGTAAGGCCTGTGGTATCCCTACTAGGTCTCTGGTGCCCCTTTGACAGGCCCATGGTGCCCCTGCGAGGCCGGCGGCGCCCCTGGCAGGTCTCTGGTGTCCCTGACAGACCTGGGGTGCCCCTGACAAGCCTGTGGGGCCCCTCACAGGCCCGTGGTGCCCTTGCTACTTGCTAGGCCTGTGGTGCCCCTGGCGGGCTGGTGGTGCCCCTGCTAGGCCGGTGGTGCCCCTGACACGCCTGTGGTGCCCCCGGGCACCAAGGGGGGTCATGACCCATGTGGCCCCCCTTGGATCTGCCACTGATACATAATATATTGATTTGTAAAGGCGTTATGGCTTTTGCAATATGCAATTGCAGGCACTTGGTATGCCTCACTTATCCCTTATTGGGGGCTCTGGCGGGCTCCTGAGGGCCCACGTCTATCTCCGGGAGCCCTTGACAGGCTCCTTTGGGTCCTTTCAGTCCACTATAGCATAAGAGGTCTCCATGCGAGTCCTATACATCTGAGGGCGTACCCTGACGTCTGAGGTACCCAACTGCAGCTCCAATGGTCTCTTACACTGGCGGATCCAGGGAGGGGCATTTAGGGCCATGCCACCTTCCCAGAGGTCTAAAGTGGCCCGTTTGCCCCCTCCCCCAAACGATAATGAAACATAGTTCAATCAGTGCGTGGCCTAGGAGCCGAGTTAGACAGGGGGTGTTTTACCACCTCCCGGCCCGCAAAGGGACCCAAGCACTGACTCGAAGCGGGTTAACTGGTCGACAAAAGCAATGGTAAGTGCTTACAAAGTAATATAAAGGCATGGGTCGGGTGGGCTACCATTTATATATTTTTCTTTCTAGTTAAAAAAAAAAATCATAGTGTCGGGGCTGTGACGAAAAATAAGTGGCCTAAATCCGATGAGAAAACAGGATTTGGGGGTACCCTAGGTTTGGCTCCAGCATGAGTTGCCCCCCCCCCCCCCCAAAACGCAAGCCTGGATCCGCCAGTGCAGCCGACGTCCGACCGGCCACGCACCTGGATGCCCTGGTGGGAGCAGAGATAGAAGTCGA